GATTGTGATATGAGTTGTATGTGCCCCTAATAAAATGATTTAAAAAAGAAGTGACTCTTAAACAAAGACCTAAGGGAGTGAGCTGGGAGAATAATAACAATGGTAATAATTACCCATGAGCTTGGCTTCAGAGACCTTTCAATCCTGGGAGATCGAAGTGCTAGGGTGCAGAGGTGGGGGAGGCTGACCGGAAGTCAGCCTTGTATCTCATTGAGGAGAATGAGAATTCCAGAACAATTCATTGTGTTCATGGGGAACCTGTACACAGATCAAGAGACAGTTGTTCCAACAGAATAAGGGACTACCACATGGTTTAAAATGAGGAGAGGAATGCGCCAGGGTTGTATCTTATTCAATCTCTATGGTGAACAAATAATCAGAGAAGCTGGACTATACGAAGAAAAATGCAGCATCAGGATTGGAGGAAGGCTTGTTAACAAAATGCAATATGCAGAAGACACCACATGGCTTGCTAAAAGTGAGGAGAAATTGAACCACTTGCTGGTGAAACTAAGAATTGCAGTCTTCAGTATGATTACAACTCAATATAAAGATGACCAAAATCCTCATCACTGACCAGTAGGTAACATCATGATAAATAGAAAAAAGGTCAAAATTATCAAAGATTTTGTTTTGCTTGGATCCACAATCAATGCTCATGGCAACAGCAGTCAAGACATCAAATGGTGAGTTGCATGAGGTAAATCTGCTGCACATCACTTCTCTAGAGTATTGAAAAGCAAGGATGTAACTTTGAGGATTAAGGTGTGCCTGACCCAAGCCATGGTATTTTCAGTTGCCTCATATACATGTGAAAGTTGGACATTGAATAAGGAAAGCCAATGAAGAATTGATGTGTTTGAATTATGGTTCTGACAAAGGAGTTAGACAGTACCACGGACTGCTGGAAGAACAACAAATCCGTCTTGGAAGAAGGACAGTCAGAATGTTCACATACTTTGGACATGCTGTCAGGAGAGACCACTGTGGCAGTCACCTAATCTGGTGTCAATTTAGGGTTAAGAGTGTAGGGGTGGAGTCTAGGCTGTCATCTGGAGGTAGCCAATGAGACTTCTGTGTGGGCATAGCCTTCTCCTGAGAATTCTGGGAAATCTGGTACTTCCTCCTTGGAGGTGGAAGACACTTCTCTCTCTCTCTGCTACTCCGGAGACATTGCAGAAGACAAGCTATATGGACGCAACCAGACTTTGGAAGCCGGAGAAGCCACAGAGAGACCCCTGCCAGCGCTGAGATGCTTACAACGCCACTGGACCCAAAGACTTTCTACCCACTGGCCTGTGATCTTCTGCATTTGGTGTCATTGCATGTGTTTCGTGAGTCTGAAGAGGACTTTATAGATTGATATCGGAAATATGGGCTAATATCGGACTTATGGACCTGATCTGGACTGGGCTGGGATATTTTCTCAATGTTCTATTGCTCTTGTATATAAATCTCTTTCTTATACACGTATGTGTGTCCATGGATTTGTTTCTCTAGTCTACCCAGACTAACTCAACCACTCCCTGAAAAAGACGAAGACCTTCAAGGAGATGGCTTGGCACAGTGCCTGCAACAAGGGTCTCAAACATGACCAACGTGGTGAGCACGACACGGGATCAGGCATTGCTCTGCTCTGTTGTACACGGGGTTGCTACGAGTCAGAATGGACTAGATTGCACCGAACAAGTCTACTGCACAAGCCAACAACACACACCGGGGAATTGAGTGGCAACCTGGAAGGTCTTTTAGCCCAGCGTGTGTCCTCTTCTCTGGCCATGATTACCAGGCGCAGCTTCTGAAGCCCAGGAGTTGAGTTCTGTTTAACTTTTAGTTTGTGGTGTATTAGGGTTATAAGGCAAAAGTTCTGTTCATATTTGATATGGATTATGTTTATAATCTGAGCTGAGGATATTTGATCGTACCTATCCATCCATATCTTTTATTGAGTACTTAGCAACATGTTTGGCAGATAGTTTTACACGCATGCACTTGTTGCATCTTCACAGAATTTGGAGGCTGAGTCCTTCCTTAGGGCCCATTGCACAATCACAGATGATGTTGCCTCTGTGCCTGTGTGTAGATTCCCATCATAGAGACCTACAAATCAGAACTGCCCCATAGGGTTTCCTAGGCTCTAATCTTTATGGGAATAGAACGTCAGGGCGTTCTCCCACAGAGTTGCTGGGTACGTTCACACTGCAAACATTTCGGTTAGCAGCTGGATCCTTAACCATTGTGCCACAGACCCGTTGGCGTTGGATAGGTGGCAGCGACACAATGCAGCACAACCTGAGACAGCTGGGGTCAGTGCCGATGGGCAACTTGTCAGAGAAGGGAAACAGAGTTTCCACGAATAAAGCTTTCTAGAATGGTGGTCAGACCCAAAGATGGAAAACCTGAAAGATCCAGGAAAGCGACAGCCTCGGCAAGTTCCAGATCTCACAGTTTCGCTGTATCATATGCTCTGTCTTAGTCTGGGTACTTCAGAGAAACAAATCCACAGAAACTCATGTATAAGAGAGAGTTTTATATAAAGAGTAAGTGCACATCAAGAAAACATCCTAACCCAGTGCTGCCCAAGCCCACAAGCCAACATTAACCCATATGTCCGAGACCAATCTACAAAGTCCTCCTCCATCTCACAAAACACACACTATGATGCTGACTGCAGAAGGAAAGCCTAATCAGTGAATGTGTAAGCATCTCAGCACTGGCAGGGGTCTCCACACAGGTGCTCCAGCACCCAGGGCTGCATCGGGGTAGGTCCATGTGGCTTCTCCTCGGGGATGTCTTGCAGGAATTGAGCTTTACCAGCTGAAGCAGGGAACTGGCTAAGGCAGCTGTACCCTGGTTCGACCATCAGAAAACAAGAGACCCGAGAACTAGAAAGGTGAGGCTTACCGAGCCATTTATCTCGCTACCCTTCAATTAACCCCACATGTGTTTATCGGCCAGGTTGGCACAATAAACCTTAACTATATCAATACCTCACTATGACTCCAACTCTGACCCTTTCTTCAGCATTTCCGTGTGATGAGTGCATCGAAGAATAAACGAGATGACACAAAACTGCAGCGAACCATTGCCAAGAGTAAGTCAGAACTTGAAAACAAGCCCAGCTTACCAAATCTGATGGCACTCACACACCTGGTGATTTTGCCTTGGAAATTATATTGGAGTGTTTTTTTGTCCCTTGTAATCAAAATGGATAAAATTCCTAGTCACTCTGTCCTTAGTTTTTTTTTAATTGAGGTAAAACACATATACCACAATGTTTCAATCATTTTGTGTGTGTGCAATTCAAAGAAAATCACATTCCTCGTGTTGTGCAACCATCACTACTATCTGTTTCTAAATTATTCATAATTTTTAGAATGACCCTTAAGCACTAACTCCCTGTTTTCCTCTCCTACCTGCACTTGGTAATCCCAATAAACTGTGGTCTCTATGCATTTACCTATTCTAAATATTTTATAGAAGTTGGGCCATACACTATCTGCCCTCGAGTGTCTGGAATGGTTCATCTTGGATGTAAAGAAAGAAAGAAGGAAAATCCTCACCACTGGACCAATACACACCATGATAAATGAAACAGAAACTGAACTTGTCAATGATTTCATTCCACTTGGATCAACAAGCAACACCGATGGAAGCAATAGACAAGACATAAAATGATGCAGTGCATTGGACAAATGGACTGCAAACAATCTCTTTGAAGTTTTCAAAAGCAAAGATGTGACTTTAATGATTAAGCTGCAACTGGCCCACACCATAGACTTTTTGTCTCATACTCATGTGAATGCCGGACAACGGGACAGGAGGGAAGACCAATCGGTGGATTCTCTCTGTGGTGTTGGTGAAACTTTGAGCATCCCATGGACCGTTAGAAGATTAAACAACTCAATTGTAGAAGAAACACAAGTGGAATGGCTCTTCTGAAGCCTGGCTGGTGAAGCTTCTGTTGGCTTACTTCGGACGCATTTTCAAGAAAGACCAATCACTAGAAAAGAAGGTCGTGGCTGGTAAACCAGAGGATGTGTGAAGGCCAGGATTGGTGATGAGATGTAGTTACACGGTGACCAGAACAAGGGGCTCCAACTTTGCAAAGATCATGAGGGTGGTGCAGGCGACATTTCGTTTTGTCATACACGAGGTCACTAGGAGCTGGAGCTGACTCAGCCACAACTAACAGCAACCACCACAGCAGCAGCAGCAACAACACAGCATCACCAGAGACAAGGATCTGCGTGTTCTTTGCCACGTTCTCCCGGTGAACTGTCTCTGACTTTGCACCATAAATAGGTTATCAAACGCCTTTTAGGATTTTGAGCACGAGAAGCGTCTCTGCCTTCAGCATCTTCAAACTGAGAAGCAGCCCTGCTCTTTGCTTGGCAGAGCAATGCGTTTGCCGTGCTCCTTGCACTCCGTTCCCTGCGGGCCGAGGGCTAGGGATCACCAGCTTCCCTCCCACCGCGACTGAACTTTGATTCATTTGTCTTTATTGTCACTGCCATCTTTCCCTTTCATCTAAACCACCTCTTTTCCTTCAGCTAGAGGTGACAGCCAGAAAGGGGGGCCCCTTTGCATTCTTGTCTTAGGCTATGGAGTCGGCAGAAACCTGTCTCCCCAAATGAGCACTGTAAATATATATATAACAGGGAGTGGGGGGGTGGGGGGTGGGGGGCAGAATGGTGGTATTGGAGATCTGTTTCTGCCCTCCACCCCCAGCTTAGGATCAAGGGAAATCAATATGGGTGCAAGGTTCAGAGGTCTTGGGAAGTGCACTTAGTCGGGGGAAAGCCCCAGATGTCCTGAAGCGTTGTTCACTCTTGGTAGCTAATAAGGGCCCACAACTAATCAAAGTTGCCTTTGAAAGCGAGAAGAGAGAGAATGTGTATATGTGAGAGGAGCAAGGAAGAGAGTACAACCATTTGTGTGTGTGTGTGTGTGTGTGTGAGAGAGAGAGAGAGAGAGAGAGAGAGAGAGAGAGAGAGAGAGAGAGAGAGAGAGAGAGAGAGAGAGAGAGAGAGAGAAAGAGAGAGAGAGAGAGAGAGAGCGAGCGAGCTGGGGCCTGTGGATCAGCCCTAGAAGTCTTGCTTCTGAGAGTCCCAGGTGTTACGGGGGTGGTCTTTGCCCACTCTTTCCAGAAGCCGACTTCCAAGGCTGAGGCAGGAGTTGGCCGGAGCTGGACCTGACTCCAGGGGGTTGGGGGACGGGATTGTGCCTGGTGGTAGGGAGCATAGTCCTGTCGGCAGAATTGGAGGCGCTCGAGCCCTGCGCCTTCTTCTCCAGGATCTGGCTTTGGCTGCCAGGGTGAGCCGTGGTTCCTGGGAAATGAACCAAGACAAAGGCAGTGATGTGGGAGAGTGTGCGCCAGTTTCCAGGCATGGGTTTGGAGCTGTTGGGGGTTGCCCTGAAGGACCTGTTGATTTTACTTTTGTTTAATCAAGGGATGGCTGTCAGATTGCCCTCAAAGGTCTGAGGCAGCTTGGCCCAGTGTTGCTTAAACCGACTTGTGGAAACAGTAGGGCTATGGGTCGGATTCGATTTGATGGCGAGTTTGGAGTTTTGGAGTTGCATGGAGAATTGGCTTTGAGCCTTCCTGAGTCTGAGTTGTCTGAGATGTGAAACTGGGACAATAATAACAACCTCACAGGGTGGCTTCCAGGGTCAAAGATGATCATGGAAGGGCGGGCAAGGACCATGGAAACTGTTGGACTGTGGTCCAATTCCCAGTCCTTTCCCTTACTTGCCCGCTTCCCTCCTCTTAGTTCAAGTTAGTGGCAAAAGCTAGCTAGCACTTAGCCAACCCCAGCTCCTCTTCTTCAGGGCCACAGCCCAATGCATGACCACTGCACCGCCAGGGATCTACTGGGTAAAGTTCGAGGGGCAGCTAAAAAGAAGAAGACCCTCAACAAGATGGATGGACACAGTGGCTGCAACCAGGGGCCTACACATAAGAACAATTGTGGGATGGCACAGGACTGGGCCGTTTTCCCTTCAGTAGCACATGGGGTCGCTATGAGCCAGAGAAGACGCAACAGCACGTAACAACACAGGGTTTCTAAGGCTGCAATCATTACAGAAGCAGACTGCCACAGCTTCCTCCCAGGGAGCAGCTGCTGGTTTGAGCTATCAACTTTTCAGGCAGCAGCAGTGTGCCTAACCACTGTGCCATCATGGTGACTCTGTGCACAATAGAGTGAAACACTGTCTGGTCCTGCTCTACCGGCGTGATGGCTGGGGATCAGCATGTTGAGATCCATCGCCAGGTCTTTCTTCCTAGTCTGCCTTAGCCTGGAAGCTCCTCTGAAACCTGTTCAGTATGAGGCAACGTGAAAGCCACCATGAAGGATTGGTGGTGAATCCATATCAGGTGCCTTGGCTGGGATTTGAACCTGGGTCTCCTGTCTGAAATTCAAGAATGCCATCACCAAGTCACTGCAGGGGCTAGGTCAGGAATTTCAAGAGAATAGAAATGAGAGAGACTGCAGGTGAGTGGGTATTTTCTCCATTTCTAGATACTTCTATCCCTACTACAGCCAGGGCTATTACCATCAGCTAGTCTTGGTTGGCTATCTATGCCCGGATTTCTGTTAAAGCATTTTAATCCATGATCTCATCTCATCTTCACCACTCTCTGAGGTGGATGCTGTGATGATCCCCATCCTGTTGATAAGGAAATAGCGCTTCGTAACTTGCCCCACATCACACTACAGACGGGTGGGATTCCATGAGCTAAGCTCTGGGCATCTTTCTATGTGGTGGTGTCCAAGCACTCATTGTGGAAGGAGATGTACCTTCTTTGGTGAGTTGGACCTGGATGGCATTTTTGGAGCTTCCTGGAAGGGTGTCTCCCGAATCTTTGACAGTGGCCTTGCCTTTGACAGACTTGTGGCTTTTCTCAACTTCCCGGAGCTGCAGAAAAGAAAATTCACTGTTGGTGCTGACCAAGGAAATGTTTGATGTTGGAGAATCAGAGCACAGCTGCGTGAGGGCTAGAGAGCAAGCACTCTACTCGCACTCGGTGGTGGTGGTGACTGTGTGGTCAGCTGTCGGCCAGTCAGCCCTTGGCTCAAGGCAATCGTACGCACATTAGAGTGAAACGCTGCCCGCCCTGTGCCATCCCCAGAATTGTAGATTGGACTATTGTGATCTGAAGGGTTTCATAAACTAGTTTGCAGAAGTCGATTTCCACACCTTTCTTCTTACTCTGGCTGTTCTTCCTAGGCCATTTTGGTTGGGAAGCGCTACTGAAACCTGTCCAGGGCATAGCAAACCTGTCCATGGACAGACAGGTGGTAGTGGCTGTACATTGGCCAGGAATGGAAGGCACGACCCCAGTCTGGAGGGAAGAAATCTACCACCAAACCTTCAATATCTCATTGTCTCTTACATTCCCCAAATCTTTGATGATCGCAACTGACTGCAGAGGCAAGCGTAGACCCTCAGTGTTGGAACGAATACCTGGCTAGGGGAGAACAGCAACCTTCTAACCCTCTAGTTCCATGGTTCTGTTTTTAAACCTCGGAGCAGGAGCTCAGTGAGCCTAATTGAAGGAGTTGTAGGTGGGAAGCTGGCAGGCAGACGAGATTTGCTCCAGGAAAGTTGGAGAGGGAGCACAGAGGAGACAGGGGTTGGGACCTGTCCTTTGAGGTCTGGGGGAGGTGAGGGGAATTGGATGAGTGGAAGAGAGAGTCAGGAGTCTGCTGGGATGGTGAGAGAGGCAACCCATGTGTGATGGGGACTCGGGAGACCTCTTAGGCAAAAGGCCCCAAAATATGTTGTTTGGACAACATTTCTTTTAGTACTTATAGTTTTGGTTTTAGTCTATAAGAATCAGTGTGGATGCTGGGTTTGCTAGGTAAGTGCATTAGTTGAATCTATTAAATCTCTTCTGGACCAATCTCCCATAATTCATTTAGACGTTTTATTCCAGATTGGGTGAAGGCTTACAGAGCATGTCAGTTTTCCATGCAACAATTCATACTCAGTTTGTTTCATGTCATTGATTGCAATCCCCACAATGTAACATCCCTCATCCCTCTACCTCCCTGTGTTTCCCATTTCCATTCCTCTTTCCTTCCTAACCCTTCCCACCTTCTGAGTGAGATCAACCTCATTTGTTCTAACCTCTCATAGTTCATATCACTACTATCATGTCACCCCAAGTGCTTCTAGAACATTAATGCATGCTATTGAATATCAGAAGGCTACTTGCTTTAATACAGACACTTTTAGATGAGCTTTGAAAGGAAGCCATTTAGCAAATACATCTGGACTTACAGAGCAAATGGAGAAACAAAGAGAGAGACAAAGACGTGACATCTTTTTAGCCTCCAGGATGAAGCTCCTGCCAGACTCACCGCTTGGATTTTCTTCCTCAGCTGGGCATTAGCTCGTGCCAGGCTTTTGGAAACGGAGTTCAGGTAGTAGATGGCCAGGCTACAAGAGAGAAGTGTGCCTCCTGAGATCTCATCATCTTGAGAAGGTGCAAGAACCCAGGTCTTTCCCAAGGGACAAAGGCAGGGGATTCCTGGAACAAGTGCTGGGCCTTTGCCCCAGGGCAGGGGGCTAATCCTACCATCCTAAAGGCCTCACGCCATTAGAGAACATCCTGGAGGTTGCTCCCTCTTTCTCCTTTCTCTCTTCAGTTGGGTTTTTCCACTTTTTAAGACCTACCATTTATAGTTCTCAGAGTGCACACACAGAGATGGTCAAAATGGACAGAAATTAATGCCCATCTCCTGGAAGCCCTCCCTCCATCAGTGACTAACAGGAGTAGGTCTACAAATGATCCGAGTCCCTACCTTTAGGGTGGGATGGCTCTGACACACATGCTCTACAGTGTCTCCCATAGTTCCCCAGCAGGTTCAAGTCAGCAAGCGGTAGCAAGACTAACAATGAGCCTCCCCTTCCCTGTATTACTTTTCCACCAAATCCCCGACAAATGACTTGAATTTTGCATTCTTTTCATGAGGTTTGCTTCTGAAGAATCCAGACTAACACAGAGCGTAAGATTAAAAAAAAAAAAAGACATATCAAGCAACATCTCAACTGTAAGGGGGCAGTTTCCATGTAGCAGAGCCATGCACTCTGGATAACTTACAACATCAGCAAGATGGCTGGAATGATTAGGCCTGGATTGGCGAGGAAAGCAAAGATCTTTCCTAGGAAGGTTGGGAAATCATTTTCAATGGTCTCTTGGATGACATCATACATTCTGTTTTTCCCACTGTAAAAAGGAGAGGATGGGTTACAGAGATTGGCAAAGCTCCCGTGTCACACACAAACAGATCTCTGTCCCACAGATACAAAGCCAGTGCTCACCGCCAATTTTCTGGAAGGTATAGAACTCAGCTACAGACTTTTCTGTGAAGGACTATGAATCAAAATAAAGGACTGCCATTTGGGTTGGGCTCATTGATGGATTAGCACACTGGTTCACCAGGTTGATGTCCATGGTACCCAACCGGCTCTCACATCACATTGGTGCTCTGTGTCTGACATATTGCTGAGAAAAATGGAACTGGATTTTGCCCATGCCCTAGTGAGACAATCAGGGAGTCCTTGTGGTGCTGTGGGCTAGGCACTGGGCTGCTAACTGAGAGTTTGGTGGTTCCAAGCAAGACCAGGCTATCTGCACCCAGGAAGAGTTACCCTCTTAGAAACCCTATATTGGGTGCTTAAGCATTGGAGTGGACTAGAGCAAGTTGTCCATGATCCAGCTAGAAGACCAACATGGAGCTTTCTCTAGGTCCCTTGATGTGAGGACAGTTCGCTAGAGGCTGACAAGATGACAGAGGCTCACGATGGCTTTCAACAATACAGTACTTATAAGGAGTCTTCAGATCATAAATCTAGTACTAGAACTGATTCTTGACCAGTCGACCGTGGTGCTTATGATTCTCAAATATCTAGGGGCTGTGAGGAAGAGTGAATTCCATTCATGCTTGCCCAGAAGCCACTCCGTTATGCTAGCTCTTGGCTGGCAATTTTGAAGTCGTGTTTAGGATTTGAAATTTCTGGTTTAAATCCTTGCACCTCCCACTTATTGACTGTGGGATTCACATGAAGCAGGCTAGCAAAAGAAACTCCGTTTTTGTTAGCTGCTGAATGACCTGCCTCCTAACCCCTCCCATCTTGGAAAGTCCCAGGAGTGATTGATTTTAGAATGTACTCTCATGTTCTCGAGATCAGAACATTGTAATTAATAATATTGTTCCTTTTGATGTTGTAACCAGGAACCAGGTTGTTATAATAAATGCAGTACGCTGTAAGGCTCACCGACTGTAAGGAATAGTAACATTAATTTTGCTCTCTGCTTCTGTTCATGCTTGCTTAAGTCCTAGACAAATGATAAAATGAGTTTTTGTCTTTAAAGATGGACTGAAATGTGTACTCAGGACTACAATCAAAGAATCGCTTTTAGATTCTAGCAGCCCAGTCATAACCAAATATAGACTCTCCTAAATTATCAAGACATTAGAGTGGTGGTCATTTATTTGAACCCACAACACATATGCCTGTGTTCACACTCTGAGTCTCCTCACCAGAGCTGCACTGTTCATGATGGATATTAAGTAATTAATTAATTGAAATAAAAAATTCAGTTCCTTAGTTACACTATGAACACTTCAAGTGCTCACTAATCATGTGGCTGGGAGCAACTATATTGGATGAGCAAATAAGGACTTTCTACACTACAGAAAGTTCTACTGGACAGTACAGCAGAGATTTCAGATCTGTGAGCAAGATACTGCAAATGTCCTTGACTTACTCTCATCATCTCTATAATATAGTATAATAATATATACATATAGTTATAACATAATGTAATATTATAAGTATAATGGTAGGATTTTTCTTCTGAATATTATTTGGAAGCTAGAATGACTAATTTATATACAAGACATTAAGTCTGATGCTAGTACATTATAAATATCTCCAAAATGTTGTAGTTAGCAGCCTCATTTGTCTCTTGTGAAAAATGTAGATCAAGAGTTGGTAAACTATGGTCCTTTGGCCAAATTCTTTGTATGGCCCATGAACTAAGAATGATTTTTATACTTTTAAATGATTGGAAAAGAAAAATCAAAGAATGTATTTTGTGACTCATCAAGATGGATAGGTGAAATTCACATGTCATCCTCTGTAATTAAGGCTGTGCTGGCACACAGCCATGCTTATTCATTTATCAGCCATGGCTGCTTTCATGCTACAATGACTGTCATTGTGACAAAGACCATTTGTGGTCTTTTTTGTTCAACACGACTGTGCATCACACTACAAATCACATGATGTAGTTATAACAGTGACTACATCATCCAAGTGTCATACAGAGCCCCATAGCCTGACAGGGCATCATCAGCTATGGCTATTCATTGTAATTAGTCATCAGCAGGTAATTTTCAAAAAGTATTTGAACCTAAGGGAGCCCTGGAAGATAAGCAATGGATTGCTAACTGCAAGTCCCGCAGTTTGAATACCCCAGTCACTCCACTGGAGAAGAGCAAAATTCTCACAACTGGACCAATAGGTAACATCATGATAAATGGAAAAGGTTGAAGTTGTTAAGGATCCATAATTAATCTTGCTTGGATCCATAATTAATACTCGTGGGAACAGCAGTCAAGAGATCAAAAGACAAGTAGCCTTAGGTAAAATCTGTTTCACAAGACCTCTTTAGAGGATTGAAAACCAAGGTTCTTATTTTGAGGAGTTAGGTGTGTGAGTTAATTGTGCCAGCCTGGCTGATAATCACATGTGGGGCTAATTGAAAGGCGGAGGGATAAATGGGTGGTGAGCCTCACCTTTCTAGTTCTCGGGTCTCTTGTTTTTGTGATGGTTGCACCGGGTGCAGCTGCCTTAGCAGTTCCCTGCTTCAGCTTGCAAGATTGACTTCCTATAAGACATCCCCAAGGAGAAGCTACCTGGACCTATCCCGATGCAGCCCTGGGTGCTGGAGCAGCCGTGTGGAGACCCCTGCTAGTGCTGAGATGCTTGTTCGTTCACTGACTCAGCTTTCCTCCTGCAGTCGGCATCATTGCCTTTGTTGTTTTGTGAGGTGGAGGACTTTGTGGACTGGTGTTGGGTTAATGGGTTAATGTTGGACTTGGGCAGCATTGGGTTGGGATGTTTTTGTGATGCACATTTTCTTTACATAAAACTCTCTCTTATACATGAGTCGCTGTGGATTTGTTTCTCCAAAGTACCTAAACTAATACATTCCTCATTTATCATGAAGTTGCTTACTAGTCTAGTGAGGATTTTTGCTTCCTTTGTGTTGAGGTGTAGTCTGTACTGAAGACCGCAGTCTTTGAGCTTTATTGGTAAGTCTCAAGTCCTGTTTGCCTTCAGCAAGCAAGAGATCTTCAGGAATTCTCTAAATGCCCCCAAGAGATAACTATGCTCAATTGAAATCATTCTTATGGATTGATAGCAGTACCCGAGAGTGTCTATTTGTGTGGAAAGGCGTTTTCAAAGCTAAATGCATACAATTTCATTACAAATCAGCATTGGCAGAAGAACATTTAACTAGATATTTATGATAGACACTACTTCTCACCTCCCAACACTGTTACAGGAGGATTAAACACATGCCTCATACCATGCTTGGCACAAACCCAGCATTCATGGTACCTTGGATATTCCTTTATCTCACACCACTGTCCCCTTCAAGAAGGAGCCGCGGTGGTATAGTGGGCTGTGTCTTACCAGTTGGGAAGCGCCAGCCACTCCTGTGGAGAAAGATGAGGCTTTCCACTCCCATCAAGAGTGAGTCCCGGCACTTGGCCCCTGTTCCCTGACTAAAGCTGCAGAAGGCAGCAGTCTGCTCACTTCAGTTACTTCTTGTGCCCAACCTGGCCCTCCCCTCCCATCTGTAAATAACTTCCCTGATGTGCTAATACTCCTTTGTCAACCTTCAAAGAATTGTGAACTGTGTATCTAAGCCTGCCTCTAATAAAGTTAGAGGCCCTGGAGTGTCTTACTGCAGGGTCCCCTGGGCCTCAACTTTTGGCTATCCCTTTTGTATAAAAGTTTTCTCCATCTGCTTCCCCCATACTAAACCTATAAATATATGTACATAGATCTATTTCCCCAATGTCATATATAAATATATTTACATATGTACCTGCCTGCATTTAGATCTCTATAAATGCCCTTTGCCTCCTAGTTCTTGCCTCTATTTCCTTTTACTTTCCTCTTGTCCCACTACCATGTTCAGCCTTCATTTGGGTTTCAGTAATTCCTCTCGGTTACATTGCCCTTGATCAAGCCCTACCAGACCTCCTACATCCTCATCGCCATCGATTTGGATCACTTGTTGTTCCCTTGTCCCTGGGTTTGTTAAGACCCACTTCCTTTCCCCCACCTCCCACTCTCCCACCCCCCCCCACAACTGTCATCCCATTGTTCTCTCTTCCCGCTTGTTTATCCCGCCTATCCCACCCAGATAGACATGCAGCAACAACAATATGCACAAACACAAGACCGAGCACAACAAGGCAACAATAGAAGATAAAACAATAGCTACAATAACAACAACAAAAAGGCAATGACACACAAAAAGAAAAGCCTATAAATCACACAAAAATAAAATGATATAATTCCAATAAAAAAAAAGTTTTCTCCTTGTTGCAGATCGTGCCCGCTTGCACCCATTCGATTTGTAAGATAAGAGCTGGTCTCTTACACTTCATATTAAATATACTAAACAAAACAAAACAGAAAACGTGGGTCTCAGAAACCTCCGGGGGCAGTTCTGTCCTGACCTACAGTGTTACAAAGAGGCAGCGTTGACTCAATGGCAGTGAGTTCCGATGAGTCCCTGTCAATGAGGAGTGAGTGATCACTCTGGGGATGATCAGGGTTCTGGTCACCTTGCTATCTCCTGCCTGGCCTTCAGATGAACGTTAGCACATCCAGAGCAAGCAGCCTTCATCTCCCTTAGAAGTCCTCCGAGAGCCGAGAGCCACGGAGATCAAGTGCTGGCATGTATCCAGCCCATGTCCCCAGGTTGGTTCCGTGGGACAGAGCAGAATTTTTGGTTGAGCTGAATTACCGATGGTATTAAGAATAAGCACGATTCGCTGTGAGTTTTAACTAACTTGGGCAGGACTCAGAATGAAGAAACACATATGCCCTTTCCGATGGACCCAACTACTTCTCTCTGAACTTTGCAGACAACACACATTATCTTCATGACAACCCTAACACCTAGGCATGACTACGATCCTCAGAGGCAATGAACCTGATGTGCCGAGGATTTTAAGGAGGTTGCTTAAGATCACCCAGGGGACAGATGGCAGAGATGGCTCCCGATTCTATGCTCAAGACCAGGAGGCAGCACACTTCTGGAAGGAAAGTAAATAAAGGGCCAGAGAGCAACAATTTTAGGCTTTGTGGACCAGACTTTCTCTGTGGCAAGTATCCATTTCTGTTGATGTAATGAGAACATTGCTAGACGATCTATAAGCAAGTGGACATGGCTGGAGGGCAACCACTATTTTTAACCATATGGTATGCAATACCTCCCACCCACCCCACCTCACTCATTTATGTTACCATCTTGGCTGCAGTTGGATTTGGTCCAGGTCCCATATCTCCCCTCTCTACCCCCCTCACCCCCATCCAACTGATTTCTCACTGGTTCTCCCCTACATAAAGCATTCCCTTTTAGCCACTAAGTACACCCAACTACCACACCAACTCCGCTGCTACTGAGCAGATTCCTGCTCAGGGTGCTACTCTATAGAGTTGCCGAGGCTTTACGGGAGCAGGCAGCCCCATCTTTCTCCTGTGGAGTGGCTGGTGGGCTTGAGCTGCTGATCTGGTGGTGAGCAGCCCAATGCTTACCAACAGTGCCACTGCTAAATACCTAAACTCAACAAACCAAGCTCACTGCCATCCAGTTGATGCCGACTCACAGTGACCCTGCAGGACAGAGTCGAACTGCCCCTGTGGGTTTCTGAGACTGTAAATACTCATGGGACTAGAAAGGCTCATCTTTCTCCCTCGGAGTGGCTGGTGATTTTGAACTGCTAGCCTCGTGGTTAGCAGCCCAATACATAACCAACTATGCCAGAGGCAAAGGTCACTGTTGTTAGCATTGACATCCTGAGGGTGGCAATAGACAATAAGCAAGATGTACAAGCATAAGGTACAGTGAAGGTAGGTGGTGAAACCGCCTAAACTCAAAACTCGCTGCCATCGAGGCAAATCTGACAGAGTAGAACTGCTCCTTCGGTTTTCTGAGACTTTAAATCTTTCCAGAAGTAGAATGTCTCGTCTTTCTCCCGAGGGACGACGGGTGGGTTCGAACTGCTGGCCTTGCAGTCAGTAGCTCAGTAAGTGGTCTACCAGGGAGGCTATGGAGATACAATAGGCAAAAGTAGTGATACACTCTGTGTGGGTGACATTTTAGTTAGGGCTTCCAGGAAAGGCCTCTCTGAGAGGACAGCTGAGACGCCGAGGGGTGAACAGGACAACTCAGGACGTGTTTTAAGCAGAATAGTGTTGAGTTTCATGTTCAGGCCCTTTCCCTGCCACCTAAAAACCCTGGAAAAATGGAACTCAGGTGTGAGTGATCAGGGCCCTCCAGGCATCAGTAAGGCAAGGGTGGGGTAGGTGGGAATTCCGGCTTCAGTCGCCTGTGAACACACCTTTGATGTCTCCTCTGAACTCCTGTGCACGTGCTGTGGGGACACCAATTGTAGACCTTTAAAAAAAAAACCCCAAACCCCAAAACTCACTGCAACCGAGTCTTTCCTAACCCAGAGCAACCCTCCGGACAGGGCAGAACTGCCCCTGTGGGCTTCCGAGACTGCAACACTTTGATGAGAGAGAAAGTCTTGTCTTCCTTTCGTGGAGCAGCTGGTGGTTTTAAACTGCTGACCTTACAGTTAGCAGCCCAACACGTAACCACCGTGCCACCAGAGCCTTACACCGAGATAATCCCTTCTAAACTAACAGTAGCAGGTCAGCACCCTCAAGAGTGTGCCCCTCCACGCTGATAGGCAGTGTCGGGAGTAGGGAGGTGTCTGGGGGCACCATGTAAGGGGGTTCTCACTCTCAGGTTCATGTAAGCGCAGAGCTGACACCCCTTGGCCTCACCCTTGTCCCTTTCATGGTAGGGGGTGCATGAAGAAAGGGTTCTGCAGCCAATAGTCATGGGAAATACTGGCTGAACTGCATCTCACAGCACAATTCCTCAGAGCCTTTGAGCCAAGAGTGGGTGTTGTTTTTACGTGATAAAGTGGCAGATACAGGGGGCAACATGTTCCAAATTGCTGTACCCACATAACTCCTTTTTATGGATCACAAAGAGCAGTGGTTCTCAACCTCCCTCATGCTGCCACCCTTTCGTACAGTTCCTCATGTTGTGGTGACCCCCCCAACCATAACATTATTTTTGTTGCTACATCACTGTAACCTTGCCTACTGTTATGAATTGGGTGACCCCTGTGAAAGGGTTGTTCGACCCCCAAAGGGGTCACAACCCACAGGTTGAGAACTGCTGACTTAGAGGACAGCGGGAGGGCTCACTCCCTGCTAGCGACCCCCCGGTGGGTTTCTGAGACTGTCACTGTAATAGAAGAGTAGAAAGCTCAGTCTTTCTCCTGCAGGGCTGGCTTTGAATTGCTGACCATGAGGATTGCAGCCCAACACCTAACCACCACACCATTCCTGAAGGCTACATGCTTGGAAAGAGAGCGGTAGCTGCACGTTGTTGTTCAATTTACATCCTTGCATAATTATTTGTCTTATACATTATATTCAATCTCTTCGATCAATTTGATATCCATCCAGAACCCAAATGTCCTACCAAGCACAGGCGCTTCATTGAGAATCTGCGTTATGAGTCTGCGGCAGTTGTTTCATATCTAATGGCCCTTGTGAGTTGGCAGAGATTTCAGGTCCAGAATTTCTCCCTCCCTCCCCTATGGGAAGTGATCCAGGGTAATGGCTCACCCATACAGTAAGAGGTCTGTTCGGCTGCCATGGCAACTCCAGGTGTGTCAGAGTAGAACTGTGCTGGGATTTTTCAGTAGCTTACTAGGTCTTTCTTCTACGGTGCCTCTAGGTACACTCAGCCACTAACCGTTTAGGGAGTAGGCAAGTGTACCACCCAGGGACCCCCATGAAAAGATGAAAACCATGCTGTCTAGCACAATAACTATTAACTTCTTGTGGTTACTAAAATTAAAACGAATTAGCATGAAATAAAGATGGAGATTCAGTTTCTTGGTTTCAAGAGCTCACCACTTGTGGCTAGTGGCTACCACATTGGTCAGCACCAACCACCCCCTACCTGCTGCCCTTCCCCAAACAAACTCATGGTCATCCAGGTGATGCTGACTCACAGTGACCCTATAGGACAGGGCAGAACTGCCTCTGTGACTCTTTTTGGGAGTAGAAAGCCCTGTCTTTTTCCCTCGGTGAGGACATAGAAAATTTATCATTTCAGAAACATAATGCCTTGAACAGCCTTATCATTTGCTTAAAGCTCCATGACCCTTTGTGGGTTGACATGGAAATAGAAGCAGGATTTTGACCTAGAACCTTCTGGGCAAACTGCCCAAGTGAGTAGCTGCTCTCCCACAACCAGCACCATGTACCTGAACGGTCCGCAGTCGAAGGAGGGCGGCAGGGACATGATGGTGTAGGCAACAGGCAGCAGGCTGAGGAAGAGCACCAGCACCAGGAGGCCCATGTAGAAGTTGTTGGATCGGGAGGCTTTGAAGACACGCTCGTGTGGGACGTTACTGCTCATCACAGCCCAGCACTGGAAGTACATGGAAGTCAGCAGACGCAGCACGTTGACGCCCACTAGTCCTGGGGCATAGAAAGAGCCCATCCTGGAAGTGCAGAAACCAGACACCTGATTGGTCCCATGACAAAGGGAATGCAATTGATGGGTTTGGGCTCGCAGGCCTCCCAGGTATCAAGGGCATTTGACACCCCGAGCTTTATTGATCGGAGTGCTGGCCAGAGTTTTACCACTGCAGTGCCACAGATTATGCAGCCCTTGCTGGTTTCTCCTTGGCTTCGTAGATGGATGCTCTGTGTGGTCGTTACATAATTTGGTGTCAATTGGAGGATTCAGAGTGAAGGGGTGGAGTCTAGCCTGTCAGTCAGGTAGTAGCGTGATGACCCCACTTGGAGGCGCTAAGGAGATAAATAGCTCACTGGAGGCAGGACACAGGCTCACTTTCTGTCAGACATCCCTGTGGAGAAGACACATGGATAGAAGCTGATAGAGCTAGACCTCTGGAGCCGCACAAGCCACGTGGAGACCCCTGCCAGTGCGGAGATGCTTACAACGCCACTGGATCCACAAGACTTCCCACCCACTGGCCTGTGATCTTCTTGCATTTGGCATCATTGCATGTGTTGTTTGAGTCTGAAGAGGACTTTATAGATTGATATTGGACAGATGGGCGAATATCAGACTTACAGACTTGATCTGGACTGGGCTGGGCTGTTTTCTCAATATTTATTTGCTCTTGTATATAAAGCTCTTTATTATACATATAGGAGTGTCTCTATGAATTTGTTTCTCTAGTCAACCCAGACTAACACACTCAGAAAAGTCTTTGAAGTCCTTAAGGTAAGCAGATTGGACAATGACTTGCAGTGAGCCCTGGGAAGCTCCTAACCCTCTGACTGAAGATACAATGATGACTCCTTGAACTCCCTTTTCAGAGGAAAGCGTTCCTTAGCTTTCTTCTTCCCTCCATTTCTTCCTTCTTTCCCCCTATGCCTCCATCTTTTTACTTCCAATCTTGGTCATCCCCTTTCCCCCGACCCTCCTTTATTTCCATGGTAGCATATGAAGGGTGGAACACATCCTGATTCTCATCTAGTCCTGACCCCTATTTTTCATGGAAATGAAAGAAGCCCAAGAGGCAAGATGATTTGCCAGTGCCTCCCAAACTAGTTCTCAGGCAAGATTCGGCAGTCTTCCTTGCTGCCGAGGCAAAGCTGAGTCGGCTTATCTAAATGACAAGCCTGGGAAAGGATTCTGGGTTTTGGACTCCTGAAGGCGGTGATTCCTTGACGAAACAAGCAACTCACCATATCATTCCTTGGTTGAAGATCAAACCCAGGACATTTCCACTGATATCAAACTCAGCATATGAGGGCTAGAGAGAGAGAAAGAGAAGACTGTTAGGCGGTATCAACCAGATCTCATTACTAGCTAACCTGCCGAGCCAAGATGATTCCATTCTAAAGATCAGCCTGCTCTGGAATCTTAGATTCAGAATTCTCTTTCTTTAACATGTATATATTTTTAACTGTTAATGAAAAAATTGAATATCCTTAAAGTTGAAACTTCTAATATATTTTAAAATAGAAAAAACATGAACATCTTAACCCTGTAGGCTCTCAGGCTGACAGTGTATTCGTGGGACATCCCTGATGCCTAAGGAAGCATTTTACCAGTTCTCTACTCAGAAATGTACCTTGAAATTAAAATCAAGGAGTAAATCTATTAATAAACTACAAGTGATTAAATCAACAGTTAAATAAGTTTTTCAAAAGTTTCAAACCAAACTACAAATTTCTTATTCAATTTCCCTTTCTCCTTCTCATCATCCCTGAGAGCAGTACACGGAAGGACAAAACGTTGCCCTGATTCAAGTTCTCAGTCTGTTCTGATGTTCAGCATGTTGGTGATTTGTCCAGTATTCGAGAGGACATAAAGCTGGTGAGCATGGAGAGTTGGAGACCCCATGCAGCACACGCAAATCTGCTTTTCCCAATTGTAGACCAAGGGCGACAGAGATGAGAACGTGAGGAATGAGATCTTGGAAAAGAAAGGAAGGCCAGGTATATATAGATCAAAAAAGGAAGTGTCAGCAGAAGCGGGACTTAGCAGGACAGGTGGGCTCGGAGATAGAGCTGGTGAAAACACTCCAAGGCCACTATGAGAGGCCAGACCCACCCCCTTCCCCCCTCCCTTTCGATGGCCTTCAGGCCCAGGTGCAGAAGACTAACCGTTCCAGATAACTTTGAACACTGTTGCTTAGCTCCGGACCTGCAGACAACAAAGTGGCAGTGGAAAATCCCCCAGCTACTCCCTCCCCCAGACCCCTCTATAAAACTCTCCACCTCTCGCCTGGACAGTGGGACTTCTCAGGGCCCTAATAGGGGCCCGTGAACCTCACTGGGAACTCAGGAAGCTCCCGTCCCTTTCTCCGCTCTCCCTTCCCTCCCGGGAGCTCTGAAACAAACCCTTGAAACTGTTCTACCATTGCCTTCTTTCTTTCTTTCCATCACCAAATCAACCTCACAGAAAGCATGAGTAATTCACATGCATGAAGGTCAAACCTTCGAAATTTAAATGTTAACATTTTTTTTCCTTTAAAAAAAAATCATTTTATTGAGGGCTCATACAACTCTTATGACAATCCATCCATCCATCCATTGTGTCAAGCACATTTGTATGTTTGTTGCCATCCTCATTCTCAAAGCTAAATGTTAACATTTTTATCGACTAGGCTTTGTGTCCTGCTAGAAAAACCTTCCCCACTCTAAGATTAATAAATGGCGTGATTTCTTTTAGCTTTCAATGATTTAGTTATCTTGATGTTTAAAACTTTGATTTACTTAGAGCTCTGTTGACTTTCATGAAATCAATGAAGGACACATTCACATAGCCTTAAGTGGTTAACCAGTTGTCTCACTGTATTTATAATCCCCACCCTTTATTATAAGCTAAAATCCAATAGAGATCCTCTCGGTTTCTGGGCTTTCTATGTGGTTCGAGTGATAAATTTGTTTATTCCCTAGTACTAGTTTAGTTGTGATAACTTTATACTGTTTCAATAGAACAGGAGTATTAGTCCCTCTCATCTTTCTTTCTAGATGTTTCCTGGTTATAGCCACAGGGTGGTTTTCCTAATGAAATTTAGTATTATTTTGGGACCTTATCAAGCTAATAAGTTAATTTGAAGACAATGTCATCTTAGCAAGATTGTGTGCTCCTATCAGCCTGATCTCAGACACGATTGTGAAGTTTTCTTAGCTTCTGAGGAGAAGCTGGGTCGGCTGTGTGTACTGACTAAAAGGAAAGAATATTACAGAAACCTCTATCAAAGCCCTTACTTGGGCCAGGCACCCTGAGGCAGGCTAGAGGAGCGTTACACAGGTAAATGAGATATGAAGCTCAGGAGCTCAGTTAAGGGAAAGGCCTCCAACACCCCCTACCCCCACCCCCCACCCCCACTCCCACCCCACCCCCTGCCCCAATCAGGGACTACCTAATGGTAGAGTGAGGGGTCAGGGAAGAGACATGCACAGGATAGAAGATTGGACCAGAGTTTCTGGTAGATCAGAAAGGGCCTCTACAGAAAGGAGATGACACAGACTTAGGATGAGTCGTTTTCCAGGTGGGTAGAGGAGTATCATGGGGAGAGGGTATGAGAGTTAAGAGATTTCCCTGGGCATAATCCAGAAGACACTGACAATAATTATTGTGTTGTTGGTGGGTTCTAGAATTTTCTGAAATATTCACCTCTAGATTTGCTACCCTATCCCAGGATGTCAGCTTCTCTAATGAGAGTTTATGGGGCGGTGGGGGTTCTGTGATAGAATTCTTGCATTTCTGTGGGAGGCCTGGATTTGCTTCCTGTCCGTGGCATCTCATGTACAGCCACTGCACGTCTGCCAGTGGAGCCTTGCCTGTTGTTATGAGGCTGACCAAGTGGCAGTAGAGCTTCCGAACTAACCCAGAGTAGGAATAAACCTTGGCAATCTACCCTTGAAAAATAAGCTAGCAACAACCCTTTGGATCACACCGGCCTGATCCTGTTGTACACGGAGTTACCACTAATCAGAGGCCAACTTGATGGCAGCAGCCAACAACAACAACAACAACGAAAGTTGATATTGTTTAGGCATTTTTTTACCAAACCTCTGCTGAGCATCGTAGTGACTGGTCCACTCCAGTGCCTCTGTTTCCCAGATAAGAAAGTCACATTATTGTTTTGCGAATGATGAGGGCAACAAATGTACAAATGTGCTTGACACAATGGATGTATGTATGGATTGTGATAAGAGTTGTATGAGGCCCCAATAAAATTATTTTTTTAAATGCTAATTCACAGTTAAAAAATAGTCACTGACGAAAAGCAGAGTTTTCTTGTACAAGGAACACACAAAGGAAGTATGGATTAAACACTTCGCTACTTCACAGAGCAGAGATTGGCACGGCACATCTAACGAAGCGGAGAGAGCAAATCTTCCTGTAAGTATCAAGCAAGATGGGTGAAACCCCTTTTCGTGGAGTATCTGTGAAACCAGGACCTACAAATCCAGCCTCTAGGTCCCAGCACCAGCAGTAGTTCATGAACCGGACAAAACACGCCCGTAGGAAGTCGCCCAGCAGGATGGTGATGTATGTTACCAGCATGTCAGACACCGTCAGCCTCATGAATTCCTACCAGGAGGAACACAGAGAAATGTGGTGGTCAGGGTTGCACATTGCCTATTTCTCCCAGCCTGCCTGCAGCCACATGATGTCACTCCCAGCGGCCTGAATTAAGCTCTTTGGCCTTCTGAGTATTGGTGGTAGAGTGCGGATGCAGACAAAGGACCCCAGGCTTTGGCAAATGCTTAGTTTAGGTCCCAACTCAACAACTTCCTAATTGTATGGCCTTGGAATGATGCATGAACCCTGGCTACTGATAAGAAACCAACCTACTGAGTCTTGGGAAGCCTAATGGCTATGGATACAAATGGTCTGACACATTGGAGACACCCAGTACATAGACAGCGCTTCTCACTAGTATTACACAGAAATAGGACCTGAAGGTTAGCCCATGCCTTGCCCACCTGCTCCGAAGTGCCAGTCTGTGTCAGCTCAGACCGAATCAGACTATGGGTGATAGGGGGCAACAGTTGGCTCTCTTCACCTTCAGTTAGCCCAAGACATATTCAGATTCATATCAGTTTTTGTACAAAGGCATGCATTTGAAACACCAAAAGCCGAGAAATAAGACTTGACTGTATTTGCACAGTATAGATCATTCATGAATTTTTTTGGTGGTGGTGGGGAATTGAAAATATGTACACATCATCACCACCTTTAAGCTCCTAAGGGCAAAAGGTCTTGATTTGTTCATTTTTGTACCCCCTCCCCAAGGTGATTCATGTTTGCTGGATGAACAGCCGGTACTTTTCAAAGTTCTTTCTGAGTCAGAATTCAGGTGAATGCTCTCAAATTAAAGATAAGTCAACACACAAGTTTCCACTCTGAGATTAACAGGAGATGAAGACAGCTTGGGGGAAAGGTGTGAAGGATACAGAGCATAACTCCCGACGCCTCAAAACCTCCATTACTTACACGTTCAAACAGAACCAGGCTCTCATCAGCAATGGAAAAATGAAGGGCTGTGAGCAAGGAGGGCACGCGAGATGCCTCACAGGGCGTGAGGCGGGAAATGAAATTGCGCTGTGGAATATTTCCAAGGAATCTATCTTACCGGCAATTCTCCCTTCTTCCTCTAAAAGGAGGCCCTGGGTAATACAAATGGTTAATGTGCTTGGCTGATAACTGAAATGTTGGCAGTTCAAGTCTACCCATAGGGCCCTTGAAAGAAAGACCTGCTGACCTACTTCTGAGAAATCCGTGAAAAACCTGATGGCACCCAGTTCTGCTATGGGCTTTCCTGTGTGGGTTCAACTCAGCAGTGCCCACCCGGTGTGGCCGTGGCCTTCTAAAGAGGGTGGATTTTGTCAGGTGGTGTCGACGTGAGGACTCTTTTTTTTCTCTGTTACACACTCAGATGGGTTTAGAAGTGCTGGAGTGGAGGACGTTGAGTTGCTCTGCATATTAAAAATGAGGAAGATTGAAGGAGAATGGGGTTGGAGATGACAAGAAAGAAAGAAAGGAGGAGTTGAGGAAGATCAATCCCTGTTACTTGTAATTATAGAAACTTTCTGCCAAAGAAGGCAAAGCATTTTAGGCCCAGTAGTTTATACGGTGCAAGCCACTAGAATGAGCAATACATACAGTACATTAGGGATACATGGTAGCTCTTAACTGCGAGATTGATGAAAACCATGACGTTTTCTGCATAGAAAAACGCACAGATGCACATACGCACAAAATCTTGCACCAAATTTTGGGGAAAAGTTATTTATAATGTCCAGGAGAAACCAAGGTTTTCAATGAAGCCTGTATTAAAACTGAATAAATCCAAGTGGTATTTTCTTGGTGGATAGAGCATCCAGAAAAATGTGTGATACTAGAAAAAAAAGTGGGGGGTGGAGAGGGTGAAATGGTAGCATTTCCTTAAGAACTATTGACTTGTTATTTTGGTGGCTTAGAAACATGGGGAAAGGAAATACAAAGGACTGCTAACAAGGTTCGTCTTTTCAGGAGAAACATAATTACTCACGATGCCCACAGCTGTCTCCCAGCAAGAACCCCGGGGCACATCTGCAGGATGCAAGGGTGGCCGGGGGCCGCTATCCTTCCAGCCGGAGGAGTTGTAATAGTTGAACAGAGTCCAGTGAGTGATATTCTTTATTGTGTCTTCAGTAGAAAGCTAGAAAGGAAGATGGAGATACAGGATTGCAGGGAGCAGGGACAGCCCCACCATGACCTAAGGAAAAATAATGAAAGTCAGCATGTGTCACACCCCTGCCAGCTAATCTTCGCTCCACCCCAGTGTCTGTCGGAGTCTCTCCAGAAATGCCCTCCCAGGCCTTCCATTTACACAGGAGGAGGAGGCAGTTAACTGGGATCTTTGAGTCTACCCATGAAACCAGTACTTTCTCATCTAGGTTAGCATCTGTGCCGGTTAGTTTTATTCCATTCAGCTCATCCATCCATCCATCCATCCATCCATCCATCCATCCATTACTCATCTTTTGAGAATAATTTATTTGTGGTCTATTATGGGCCTATAAGGCACTGGTGATACAGGAATGATCAAGAAGGCTGGGACTTCCCTCACTGAGTTCACAGTCATGAATAGACAGATCATTGATGTGAGCTGTGGGAAATTCGCTCTGGGGGCTGAGCAGGATCTGCATCAGAACATGGGGGCCACAGAGACTTCTTGGAGGCCAAAACCTCAGGGAGGATTAGGAACTAGTTCAACAGAGGGTACAAGATGGAGAGAGGTGAGAGAACACCCCCCCCCCCATGGGAGGCTCAGAAGGATGCACCACAGTCGACTGGGGTAGGAGGAAAGCTAAAGTTGAGGATGGAAGGCATGGAAGCTCCAGTCACTTCTCTGCTGAGAACCTTCCAATAGCTCCCCACTATCCTCAGAGAGTAGTTCATACAGTTTAATGAGGAGGGAGAGGTGGAGATGAAGAGCAGCATGATCAGACTTCCCTCCAGTTTCATTGATCACTTCTTCCTCTCTACTTACTTGTTCAGCCATCTCACAATTCCCGTTTGCACCAGCTTCTCCTCTGCTTTTTCCATTTCTTGCTCATATTTCTCATGGGGAAGGCTACAGCTCCTTCTATGGGCTTCCATGCTGTGTTGGGTTTGCCCTCATTGAAACAGCGTGTTAAAATAAATGATGCATCGGCCAGTCTGTCTCTTGCTTCAGAATGTGAATAGCTTGGAACAAGACCCTGCCTTAACGCTCTGCTGTACCCCAGTGTGATCAGTAGGCTTATTGCGCCAACCTGGCCAACAGGAACATTTGGGATTAATCAGGTTGCAATTTGATTGGAGGGCAAAGAGATAAATGGCTCTGCAAGGCCCACCTCCATCTCTCTTGCTCTCTGATAATTAGAGTGTGCTGGAGCGTTTGAGCTGCAGCTGTAGCTAAGTTCTCTGCCTCAACCTGTGAGCTACACCACCTGTGGGCCAGGCCAGCCTGTAGATCATGTCACTAGAGCTTGAGGCTCCTTCGAGACCTGCTGTTGGCGAGTACATCGTTTGAGCTTGAGGCTGGTGTATTCTGTCACCTTGCATTGCTTCCGTCAACATCCCATCTGGGCCTACTTAGCTAAGCTCCCGAGCTACTGACTGTTGGTGACCCACCCTGCTGCTTGCTGCCTGTGGGCAGACTCTTTGCTTTGCCCCAGGGACGACTCTGCTGTCTGCTTCCTTGACCTTGGATCCAGCAGTCCATGTGAGTTGAAGGACTTCCAGTACATTAATTATTCCACAGAAGTGAGCTGAACTGACTTCTCTGTACTGCTGTGTGGACTAATTAGTTGTTATACTCCTTCTTGCTGTATAAATCTATATCTATCTATCTATCTATCTATCTATACACACATATAAGAATAATTATAAGTGTCTTGGTCTCATTTCTCTAGAGAACCCTGCTTCAGACAAAATGCATGCCTCATAACTGTCTGGTGAGGACTGATGAAGGATTAAGTCAAGCATGATACATCACACCAAGGAATATTATTCATCTGCAATTAGACATTCATGGAAGTTATGAAACAACATGAAGAGGCTGCTGATAAAATATTAAATGACAATTCCATGTATCAAATGACTGATACATGATTCAAGCTCTGTGCAAAAAAGACAATCTAAGAGAAAGACAAAAATATCAGCAAACGAACAACTACATCCCAATCATTTCTCACCTGCATTGTAACTGTTAACTTCGTAATAAACCCTTTAATCATAAAACAAAACAAAAAACGGCAGCAAAATGTTAAAAATGATGATCCTGGGATTATAGGTTTCTGGAGTAATGATTTCTTTATTTTACTTTTCTGGACTTCCCCAAATTTATTTAATAGGTATTATGTATAAGAAAATTATTATATTAAAGTAGAACTATAGCAATACCTGGGATAGGAGGGAATTTGTAGCTTTTACCTTAAGGTGGACATCATCCATTAGGGCCAAGAGAAATGTGTAGAGGTTCCCCAAGAAGAGTGCAAAGATGCGTCCCAGTTGCCACTTGAGTCCAATGCGGGGATGGTAGTTCTCTAGGGCTGCAATGGTTTCGAAGAGAGGGGGGCAGAACATTCCGAGTAGGGACATCACAATCTCTACCTGAGAAAGGAGGGAAGTGCGGGTCACTTGGGACATCCAGACTCTTTGCTAGCCACAGTGCCTTCGTTCCAGGGCCGTTCATCTCCACGTCCCATGTCCCATGTCCATTTTGTATCCCTGGCAATGCCTTGGCATCTTCACAGTGTTCTGTGTGGCCCTGAACAAGGCACTGAGGTGCCCCGAGCTGTCAACACATGCCCCACATAGAACTTGTTGTGACTAGTTGCTATCATGATTGCTACTCTTGTTGTTGTGTGCCATCAAGCCGGCTCTGACTCAGAGAGACCTCGGGTACAACAGAACAAAACATTTCCCTATCCTGGACCTTCCTCACCATGATCGTGTTTGAACCCATTGTTACAACCGCTATGTCAATCCATCTTGTTAGAGGTCTTCCTCTCTTTTGGTGATCTTCTGCTTTACCAGCATGATATCCTTTTTCTGGGACTGATCTCTCTTGATAATGTGTTCAAAGTACATGAGATGAAGGTTTGCCGTCTTCTCTTCTAAGGAGCATTCTGTCTGTACTTCCTCCCAGACAGATTCTTGTGATTAGAAGGGATGAAAATCGTGAACTTCATTATTTATAATTCTTGGATCATGGGACAAACTGGTGTGCTTCTTTAGTGTGGACTTAGCTGACACCTCATTTAGATGGCTGTTTGTTTTCAGATGAGCCTTTAAAATCCCGGATGCTACTCCTTCTGATAGCTGGGCACCATCTGGTTTCTTCACCATACTTTGCTATAGTACCCATATCTTCAGTGATCTTTTCATGAGGGCAAGCATTAAGTAGGGCCATGTCATAATTGTTCTTAGATTATGGCTATGGTTTTCATTACTCTTCTTTTCAGGGGCCAATAAATGCACCTCAGATGACTGTTCACAAGTTTTATGACTCTGGTCACTGTTCACCCAAGCAGGATGGAGAACGTTGTCTTTGTGAACTATATTATGCCCATAGACCCCGGTGTCCCCTGAGATGATGGTCCTGATCTCCAGGGCCAGCAACTCATTCCCTCAAGGAGTTTAGTTATGAATTAAACAAAAGTTTATTCTTGCATACAAGACAGAGACAAGAAGGGAGACGTCGGACTGAGTAAGATATGACAAAATAATAATTTATAAATTACCAAGGGTTCATGAGGAGGGGGGAGCAGAGAGGGAGGGGGGAAAATGAGGAGCTGATGCCAGGGGCTTACGTGGAGAGCAAATGTTTTGAGAATGATGAGCATAATGAATGTACAAATGTGCTTTATACAATTGATGTATGTATGGATTGTGATAAGAGTTGTATGAACCCTCAATAAAATGATTTTTAAAAAAGATAGAGACAAAAATGTATACAATTATCAAGCTTAATTATTCCAGAAGTTTCCAGAACATTCAAAGTTAGACCCTTTAGGTGGGAAAACTTTTTTTTTCCTGCCAAGGGCTATATGGATATTTATGAAATTCCAGCCTCAGTTAAAAGACATCCTTTAGATGGGAAGGCTATGCCTACTACTGAACTGATAAATTTAACTCATGAGTTTTCCCAAACTCTGGAAATCAAGCAGACTGTGAAGATAAGTTAATAGCCCTTCAAATTACAGCAGTTGTAAGGGTCTACCTAGAAAGAAGCATTAAACTCCCCAAAGAACCTAAAACTGGTCTTTATCATTATTGTGAGATAATGGAAAAATAAATGCTTTATGTTGAATACTAAGCATAAGCTCTCCACCCTAACCATCTCTCCACCCCGATTCAGAATGAAGTGGCTCTGAGGAAATACAAAGTCCTTTCCCAGGGTGGCCCTACGCCCTCAAGAAGAAACAACGTGCATGTTAATTTTTCATGGATAAAGGTGGGGTTTACCTATCTGCTATAAACACATCTCTACAAAAGTCACTGCCCTGGAATAAAAAGACCTAGGGAAATAGTGGGAGTTAAAAACAAAGAGCGAACACTAGTTTATTTTCAACCTGTGCCAATAACTCTTGGCCCAATAAAGGATTTACATAATTTTATCCTCAGTGTTGACACTCCTAATTTATAGGAAAGATATTTTATCTAAATATAATTGCAATTTAAAATTTAATGAAAAGGAGGGCACACTATTATGCTTCTGAAACCTTAAGTTCTAAAAATACCAATTTAGATAAGGAAGAACTATTGTTCACATATAAGCCTTTACTCTGACCATTCAAAATGTGATCCTATCAGACTCCCTTCCCCTGATATAATTTCTAAGATCTTTGTCACCCTGTGGGTCACTACCCCTACAGACATGGGCAGAGTTCTGTCCATGAAACCAATTAAAATTCACGGGGACACATCTAAGCGCTTGTCTATGATTCCTCAATACCCACTTAATGGGTGGGTATTGAGAAGCAAAGGAAGCATTGATTCCTATTATTCAGGATTTTCTTTTCAAAGACTTAAGTATCCCTTGCACTTGTCACTGCAGTCCTTCTGGTGAAGACAATGAACAATCAAGGTGAGATTTGTTCAAGAATAATGCTCCATCAACTTTATTGTTAACCCTTAAGTTCCAATCATCTTTAATTCACATAAACTACTTATTCTCCAATATTCCCCGATTTCACATATATTATCACATGTGATAGGCCTTCATTATGTGTGTGTGTGTGTGTGTGTGTGTGTGTTATGCTTTCGAAATTCGGGAAGATACTGAAAAACAATTTTTGACTTAGAACAATCCACAATGAACTTGGACTGCCACTATGAATTTATTGCTTTCAATAAATTGTATACAATTTATTGTATACAATAACTTTCACATATTGCTTTCTTATTTTTGCATGCAAATTTGCAACGTTTGCAATTTCCAAATCAATCTACTCTGTTACAATGAGTTGATGACTTTCATGTTCTCCTCTATGGTAGTTACATAATCTGGTGTCAATTTGAGAGGATTATGAGTGAAAGGGTGGAGTCTAGTCTGTCAATCGGATCATAACCAATGAGGCCTCTGTGTGGGCATGGCCTTCTCCTGAGAATTCTGGGAAATGCTGTATTCCTTCTTGGAGGCGGGAGACACTATCTCTCTCTCTCTGCTCACTCCCTGAGATGATACTCTACTGATAGGACAGTGGTCACTACACTGATAGACCCCAAACCCTGGAAACTGGAGGAGCCATGTGGAGCCCCCTGCCGGTGCTGAGATGCTTCCATCGCCACTGGATCCAAAAGACTTTGTACCCACTGGCCTGTGATTGTCCTGCATTCAGCATTATTGCATGTACCTCATGAGTCTGAAGAGGAATTTATAGATTGGTATCAGACATATGGGCTAATATTGGATTTATGGACTTGATCTAACTGGGCTGGGACATTTTCTCAATATTCAATTGTATATTATATTCAATTGTATACAATTGAATCTTTCTTTTTTAATATTTTATTGGGGGCTCATACAACTCATCACAATCCATACGTCCATTGTCTCAAGCACATTTGTACATATGTTGCCATCATCATTTTCAAAGCATTTTCTTTCTACTTGAGTCCTTGGTATCAGATCCTCATTTTTTCCCCTTCCTCCCACTCCCTCCCTTATTCCCTCCCTCCCTCATAAACCCTTGATAATTTATAAATTATTAATATTTTGTCATGTCTTGCACTGTCTGATGTTTCCCTTTACCCCCTTGTCTGTTGTCCATCCACCTGGGAGGAGGTTATAGGTAGGTCTTGTGATCTGTTCCCCCTTCCTCACCCACACCTTCCCCTTACCCTCCTGGTATGGCTACTCTCAATATTTTTCCCGAGGAGTTTATCTGTCCTATATTACCTGTGTTCCCAGCTCTTATCTGTACCCATGTACATACTCTGGTCTAGCCAGATTTGTAAGATAGAATTAGGGTCATGATAGTGGGGTGGAGGAAGCACTAAAGAACCAGCGGAAAGCTGTATGTTTCATCGGTGCTATACTGCACCCTGACTGGCCCATCTTCTTCCCACGACCCTTCTGTAAGGGGATGTCCAATTGCCTACAGATTGGCTTTGGGCCTCCACTCCACACTCCCCCCCTATTCACATTATGATTTTCTGGGTCTTTGATGCCTGATACCTGATCCCATTGAGACCTCATGATCACAAAGGCTGGTGTGCATCTTCCATGTGGGCTTTGTTGCTTCTGAGCTAGATGGCCGCTTGTTTATCTTCAAGCCTTTAAGACCCCAGACGCTATATCTTTTGACAGCCGGGCACCATCAGCTTTCTTCACCACATTTGCTTATGCACCTGCTTTGTCTTCAGCTATCATGTTGGGAAGGTGAGCATCTCAGAATGCCAGATTATTAGAACAAAATGTTCTTGTGTTGAAGGAGTACTTGAGTAGAGGCCCAATGTTCATCTGCTTCCTAATACTAAACCTTTAAATATATGTACATAGATCCCCATCGTCATATACAAATATATTTACATATGTACATGCCTGTAACAAATCTCCTTCTTATACACATATGAGTTTCTATGGATTTGTTTCTCTAGTCTACCTGGACTAACACATCCTCCTCTCAGCAAGCCTGCCTAGAAGACAGCATCGTTTTGTTAAAACATTTAACTGCTGGTGGACATAAACATTCTAGAAAAAAGTCACAATTAGTTCAACCCTATGCCAAATGCTAGTCATTTATTTTTTTGTAGGAGGCATTTCTATGGACCCCTCCCCAAGAGAAAAGAAGCTATTGCAGCAATCCTTTTCTTTAAAACAACGAAAACATTCATGGGATTCTGGGGATGCTGTGGCTATTGCTAAGCAATCACTCAACCTTTTACACAGGTATTTGGAAGCCTCTGTCTGCGTTACTCCCGAAGATCAAAGCGCGATAACTAAGTTGAAGGGCTTTAGCTAACACACTTGTTCTCCTGCTGCTGTTAGGGGCCATCGAGTCAGTCCGGTCAGCTCTTCCGTGCACAATAGACTGAAACACTGTCTGGCTCTGTGTCCGTCTCACGACTGTTGTCATGTTTCAGGAGATTGTTGGAATCGATGTGTCAGTCCATTTCATCAAGGGTCTCCCTCTGTTTCATTGACCCTCTACTTCACCAAGCATGACATTCTTTTCCAGGAGCTAGTTCTCCTGATAACCTGTCTAAAATATGAGACAAAGTTTAACCATTCTTGCTTCTAAAGAGCATTCTGGCTGTACTTCTTCCAAGACAGATTTGTGTACGTTTCTGGCAGTTCATGGTTCTTTCATTATTTTTCACCAGCACCATAAATCAAATGCATCAATTCTTCTTTGGTTTTTCTTACTCAATGTCACAAATTGCACATGCATAGGAGGTGATCGAAAATACCATGGTTTGGGTCAGGTACACCTTAGTCTTCAAAGAAACATATATTTCTTAATATTTTTAAGAGGTTGTGTGCAGCAGATTTTCCCAATGCAATAAACTATTTGATTTCTGGATTTGAATGCTGGTTCTGGGAGCACTGATTTTGATTCCAAGTAAAGTGAAATCCCTGACAACTTTATTTTTTCTCCGTTTATCATATTGTTACCTACTGGTCCACCTGTAAGGATTTTTTTTACATTGAATTGCAATCCATACTGAAATCTGCATTTTTAAATTTTCATCCCCAAGTACTTCAAGTCCTTCTAACTTTTAGAAAACAAGGCTGTGTCATCTGAATGTTGCAGGTTGTTAATAAGCATTTTATCAAGAATCTGGTATTGAAGGAAGAAGTTTAAGCTGTATTGAATGTGTTAACAAAATCAAGACTTCAGGAATTAACAGAATATGAATCGAAATGTTCCAACAAGCTGATGTAGCACTGGAAGCACTCATGAGTGTAGGAGAAGAAATTTGGAAGAGAGCTACCTGGCCAACTGACTGGAAGAGATCCATATTTGTGTCTATTGAAAAAAAAAGACCTAATATAGTGTGGAAATTATTGACCACTATCATTAATATCATATGCAAGTAAAATTTTGTTGAATATAATTGAAATCAGTGTAGTTGTACATTGACAGAAAGCTGCCAGAAATTTAGCAGATTCAGAAGAGGATTTAGAACAAGGGATACCATTGCTGACATCAGTAAAATACTGTAGCCACCAGTAAAATACTGTAAGTGGGAAAAAATGGGAATTTCAGAACCCTGAATTATACTCCTATGGAACCTGCACATACATCAAGAGGCAGCTGCTCAAACAGAACCAGGAACTCCTGTGTGGTTTCAAATTAGGGAAGGTGGCTAAGCAAATAGTCGCCAAACATGGACTGTATGAAGAAACACATGGTGTCAGGATTGGAGGAGGGCTGATTAACAACCATTTGACCATAAAAATACATCAGCTTTTACCATGCAAACAATGCTACCCTGAATACACACCCATCCTTTTTGTTTCTTTAGCAAAGATCCTCAATGGTGGGGCTGTTGGGTAAAGACAGCACACAGGCATCCATCATCATAGCTCTGACGGCGTGGATTCAAGAGGGGAGCACTGAATACAGTGGATGGACACGGCGTTGCCCATGGATCAGAGCCGACTCGATGGGGGCTTTTCTAATACAGTGGATGGACACGGCGTTGCCCATGAATCAGAGCCGACTTGATGGGGGCTTTTCTAATACAGTGGATGGACACGGCGTTGCCCATGAATCAGAGCCGACTTGATGGGGCTTTTCTAATACAGTGGATGGACACGGCGTTGCCCATGAATCAGAGCCGACTTGATGGGGGCTTTTTCTAAGTTCGCTCTAAAGGGAAGCAGAGAAACAAGGTGGTTGCTGTGGGGCAAAGAGACATTTGTCTAGTTTTCCTCCTTACATGGAAGAAACATGCAACATAGTCATAAGTTTAGGGAATGATCACACACGACAGTGGAGTGCTGGTAGAGTGGTAGTCTTGATAGGAGACAGAGAAAGTGGGCTTGGGATCGCAAAGCCTTTAGTGTTGTGTGCCGATGTGTAGCGTTCATGGGGATCTTACAGCACAGGGTAGAACCGGCCCGTCTGTGAGGTTTCCCAGGCTGCAAACTTTCTGGGAGCCGATTGCCAGGTCTTTTTATTTTATTTTTTTAAATTTTTGAGCAGCTGGTGGGTTCTAATCACTGACCTTTTGGCTAGTAGCTGAAGCCTTTCTTTTTGTATTACTTGGGATTTAACACATATATAATCTCATTCCATAGTTCAATCATGTCCAGCAGAATTGTACAGCTGCTATCACCATCAGTTTGCAGACATTCTTTTTGGACATGGTGTGGCAGTTACATAATCTGTCAACTTGAGAAGGGGTGGAGTCTAGCCTGTCAATTAGGTCACAGCCAATGAGACCCCTGTGTGGGCATGGCCTTCTCCTGAAGATTCTGGGAACTCCTGTCTTCCTCCCTGGAGGTGGGACACATACTCTCCCTGGAGGTATTCTTGTTGACAAGCCACATGGAGCTACACTGATGAAGCCAGAGCCCTGGAGCTAGAGGAGCCACATGGAGAACCATGCCAACACCGAGATGTTTCCACCGCCACTGGATCCACAAGACTTTCCACCCACTGGCCTGTGATCTTCCTGCATTCAGCATCATTGAATGTGTTACATGAGTCTGAAGAGGAATTTATAGACTGGTATCTGGAACATGGACTAATATTGGACTTATGGACTTGATCTGAACTGGGCTAGATGTTTTCTTAATATACAATTACTATTTATATAAAGCTCTTTCTTATATACATGAGTGTCTATGAATTTTGTTTTTCTAGTCTACCTGGACTAGTATACATGGATTCCTTGACATCATCTCCCCTTCACCCCACCACCACTGTGCTCAGCCCCCAAACCCTTATTTGACTTACTCTCTCTCTCGGTTCATCTATCCTGGGCTTCACATACTGAAGAACAGAAAAAAACATATAATACAAGTTCAAGAGGGTGACCCCCAATGACATAACACCTCTGAGATCCACTTAACCACTGCTTCATTGGGGCTCCTTCCCCAAAGTTTACTAACAGGCATTTATTTTTTATTCAAGATGTTTGTGGAAAAGGATGCAATTTTACTTTTCAAAACAGATCCTGTAATTCAAATTTACAGTAAATCAGCTCAATAATATAGGGGTTGCTGTTCTTTCAGCATCTGCCCTGCACATTTACTTCATCAGAGATATTTTTCTTACCTCATTCCTTTCATACCAGCTGACATTCTGCATCTTGGAGAACTCCTGGGATCGCTTCACCACAAAGTAAATGAGGTACCCACTTCCGCACAAGCAACAGATGATGAGGAAGTTGGCCAGGACACGGAGAAACCTTGTCAGGTGGATGTTTTCTTCTTTGTTACTCTCTTGCTCATCCACTATTGATTCCTTAACATGTGAAAACGGGATGGGAATAATGTCAGAGCAGGATCCAACCAGAACCATTGTGGTTCGGTTCCCAAGAATAGTGCTTCCCATATTTCCATCAGTGAAATAATAATCCATGTAATGAACTGACACCCTATAGAGAATTAGTTCTTTTCTTTAAGAACACCTGTTTTGTTGTGAGCATTACTCTTTTGGTATTTGTAGTAATCAAAACTTGATGCACAGTCAATGCTCATAGAAGCAACAGTTAAGAGATCAAAAGACATGTCACATTAGGTAAATCTGTTACTTAAGACCTCTTTAGAGTATTGAAAACCAAGGATGTTACTTTGAGGACTAAGGAGCACCTGACCCAAGGCATAGCATTTTTCCTTGCCTCATATGCATGTGAAAGTTAGACATTGAACAAGGAGGACCAAAGAAGAATCAAATTTGAATTGTGGTGCTGCAGGAGAATATTGAAAGTACCACGGGCTACTGACAGGACAAACAGATCTGTCTTGGAAGAAGTAGAGTCAGAGTGCTCTTCAGAGGCAAAGATGGTGAGTCTTTTGTTTTATGTACTTTGGACATATTGTCAGGAGAGACCAGCCCCTGGAGAAGGACATCATGCTTGGTAAAGTGGAGGAGCAGCGAAAAGAGGAAGGCTATCAAAGAAATGGAATGAAGTTGCAACAATGGACTCAGACATAGGGACAATTGTAGGGATGAAGCAGGAGCAGGCAGCATTTTGTTACATTGTGCACAGGGTCACTATGGATTGGAACCAAGTTGATGGATGGCACCGAACAACAACAACGATAATAAAAACTTAGATTTGTTGGATGCGTAGCATATGGGAAATGTGGTGTTAAACATTTTTCATATATTATTCCTCTGAACCCCAGCAACTGACCAATAGAGAAGGTGCGACTATTAACCATGTTATAGATAGTAAGGTCCAGGGAGACTTCTGTAACTAATTGGATTCGATTAAAATTTCATTTTAATAACATTGAGTTTTATAATCCAGGGCCAGTAAACTTTATAAAGAGCAGATCAATAGTTTTGGTTTCTAGCCACATACTGTTTCACAATGACTCAACTATGTGATTGCAGCATGAAAGCTGTCAGAATCCATGCATACGTAAATGACATGGCTTTGTTTCAATAAAGCTGTATTTACAGGAATATGTAGCAGACGACATTTGTGACTCCTGTTTTAATCCATGAGCAGGGCACATCTTTCCATTTATTTGTGACTTCTTATTTTCTTCCCAGAACCCCTGTGTGGTGTAAATGGTTCATGAGCTTGCCTACTAGCTGAAAGGTTGCAAGTTGGAATCCACCCAGAGATACTTTAGAAAAAAGGGTTGGTGGTCGGTCCACTTTGGGAAAATGAGCCCTTGAAAACCCTGCGGGGCACAGTTCTTTCCGACACACCTGCGGTCGTCATTCGTCGTCATGACCCGAGGACAGCAGGTTTCTAATTTCTGTCGGTTCTGTTTTGTCTTTTTGGCGTTGCAATCCTGTGGCTTTTTTGCCTTGGCTGTTGTTAAAATTTATTTCTATTATTTATTTTATGCAATTTTGAATGGAATTTAAGAAGCTGTCTGCTAGTGGTTTGCTGTTAGTATATAAAAACCCCACTGATTTCTTTATGCATTTTTATTAGCCATCTGTGCTATTTCAGTAACTCTCTAAGAGGACATAAGGAGTAAATGGAGGAGCCGAAATGGCACGCGAGGCCTGGCAAGAGACTTTCCGATGGACTAACAGTTACAGTGTCTGGGGGCAGGCTTAACTAGCTCACCAGGTACTTAATACAAATAAACTTACATAGTTTGTACAATACGTAAGTACATTTTTTTCTAATTTAAAAATTATTGCATTTCAGTGGAAGTTTACAGAGCCAATTAGATTTCCATTTCACAGTTTCTACAAAAATTGTTCTGTGATGTTGGTAACATTTTCCAGAACGTGCCAACATTCTCTTGATTTAGCCTCTAGTTGTTCAGTTGCCAGGACTCTCACTTCCCTGTCCCTCGTCTTCTCATCTTTACTTCAAAGTAATCGTTGACTTTTGTGTGCTATACATAGACGGCTATACTGATAGATAAAACCCCTTACTGTTATGTGACAATTTATTATTTCACTAAAAGGTGCCCTCAGGGGATAATTTCAGTCCAAGGTTTAAGGGGTGCCCCAGGGTGATTGTCTCAAGGAGTCCTCTAGCGTCAGCTAGTCTCCTGAGCCCATACTTTTTACAAATTTGTAAGAACACTCTTATGGAAGTACAATCGACCCATTTTTAATAGACTAGGAGAAAGGGCCTAATATTCCCCACTTATTAAACTCTTTTACGTCCATCTGTCTTCTTTGTTCCTTTGTGGTTGCCTTAGAGGAGAAGCCAAAGTTCTCAGCTGCCTCTACTTGGACCTTAGATAAATGAAGTGATAAGTAGCATAGGAATGATTCTTTTATCTCCATTTCCCCCAAACGAGATTCTCAACTCTTGCTGGGGGTTCTTATCACTTGGGGGAGTTTTTAAGAACACTAAAGCCAGGACCTTCTCCCAGACCAATGGCATCAGGATCTTTGGGGGTGGGAACCAGGAGATTTTTCAAGCTCCTTCCATCGTTCCAGCATGCAGCTGCTCCAAATGAGTCTTCCCATTCCCTCCAGCAGAGCACAGCAGCAGAAACAGACAGGAGAAGATCCCAACACCTGTGGCAGATGCTGTGTACCAGCCATGAGCATTCTTTCTCAGGGTTGAGAGGAAGGCTTGGGATCTCTGGCAAAGCTTTTGCTACAAGTTATTTGGGCATCTTATTTCCATCGATGCCCAATGACTGATGGGACCGAGAGCTCCCCCAGGGAGTGGGAACAGCCCTGAGTTGACTACCTTGAAGCTGGTGGTGATGGAAGCGTATTTGTTGTCTGCTGTCTCTGAATTCCCGATCAGGTAGTCCCAGCTGGTGAACATCTTAAAGCTGAATGTGAAGTTATCATTCTCCCCGTCGCTTGTGCTCCCCTGGCTATTGCTGGCCATCCTATAAGACACACACACACACACACACACACACACACACACACACATCCCACTGTCATTAAGCCAATCCTGTGCTTCTGCTGAAGGGTGGGCTCTGGTGTTCAGATTTGTGCAGGAGACAGGAGATGGTGCTTCCCCACCCCTAGACTTAACTAATTGGGGTCCCCTGGCTCAGAAGAAGGCCATTCAGGAACTGGGCTGAATTCTGTCTTCAGAGGATATGAATTAAGAGGCACAGACATATGGTGCAATCATTTCTGTTCAGAGACAAGAAGACCTGGGACCACAGAGGCTCCATGGTTCATCACAGTCAGATCTATGTGTTGCGTACAGATGTTCCTGTTTCTATGGTATAGGTGGAGGTCCTGAGTGGTGTAAATAATTAGCAAGCTTGGCTGTTAACTGACAGATTGGAAGTCCGAGACCACACAGAGGCACCTTGGAAGACAAGCTTGACAATCTACTCTAAAAAAACAACCCCCCAAAGTCCCAGTCCCTGGAAACCTTGTGGGGCTCAATTCTACCTGGACATAACGGGGCCGCCATGAGTCCGAGTTGACCCTTTAGCAATTATCGTGATCATCTTCCTATGTGCCAGGCTTGGTCCTGACATGTCAGCTAGTATCAGAGGAGCAGGAGAGTGTTTCTGAGGAAGCTGAGCTCGGCAGAACACCAGACATAGGCTTGGCCAACCTGTGCAGCTTTACTGGGTACCATGCCCCCTCTCAGCCTCACTGACCTTTGGACAGTCTATGGATCTCACTAGGTTGGGACTTCCTGGGTTAGTTGTTTCCTTGAGACCTTTGTACAAGGTCTTCCTCTGGCAAAAATGCTCTGCCTCCAACTTTCAGCAAGGGAAGAGGTTTTGGAACTCAACCGCATCTAAAGGAGTGTCTATCCCATTCTCCAGAACTTCCACGTTATTCTGTTTCTGTCTTTCAGACCACATGCCACAAGTGGCATTTGTCTTGTTCGCTCAGTTGTTTCCTTTTCGCCTCTCTGCATCCCCCCTGC